GCGCCAGGGCGAAGACCACAGTGCGGGCGCGGCCGCAGGAAGCCCTCGCAAGGAACCCAGTCCTGAGACCCGCAGGCGCGACATGCAGTGTGGGGGGAGCCCAGGGCACCCTGAACGCAGCGGCTCCTTCCACGGCAGCGCGCGGAGCGAAGAAACCCACGGTACCCGGACGAAAAGCACTCAGTTTCTTGATGCGCGCCCTCACTGTACAGCCAGGCCCTGCCCTGGCACTGGGCAGCTCTCGCGTCCGCCCTCGTCTTGGCACCACCTGCAGGGCACCCCTTCGTCTGGGTGTTCCTCCAAGAGGAGGGGATCCCTCTGGATATGCCTCCGTGCCCCCTGGCACATCGAGGCGTGGTGCAGTGCCAAGTGCTGCCTGGTAGGGTTTCTTTGAGTCTTCTAAGGCCCCACTCCTACCCACACTCCGTCGCGTGCACTGCCTCCTTCCGAGGGTTCCTGGGCGGCCCGATGCGTCCCCAGGGCTCTCCAAGGCACTCCAACGCTTCCAAGACGGCCCGGAAGGCCACCAAGGCCGCCAAGATGCCCTGACATTGCCTCCAGAGGCACCGGAGAGCTCCCAACGGCCCAAACCACTTTCAAGCCCCTTGCAAGTTCTGCAGGTTCTTGAAACTTGTGAGTCTCTGGAACTTCTCTGGGCTCACGGTGGTTCCAAGAAGGCCTCGGAGGAACCAGGGAGAGGGCAGAATAACCCTGGCACCCTGCGCAGCCCAGAAGCCTCCCAGACGGCCCACGACAGCCCAGAGAGGGCCGGGACAGCCCAACATGGTCCAAGCTGGCCCCAGGTAGGCTCCGCGAGCGCACGTCCAGGAACAGAGACGAGAGGTGCCACGTGGTGTTGCGGCCTGCTGGGAGGTGTTCGACGCTTCGCCACTCGGAGTGCTGCGCTGGCACGGTGGCAGAACTCGCCGCTTGCAGCCAGACTTAGGTCGGGCATGTCCTCCCACAGGCGGGTTTTGGACGAAAAATAAAAAATAGTCAAACATACGCCAAACATTATCCAAATTAGTCCAGAAATAGTCCCCATACTATTTTGTTGACTATTTTTGAATATTCCCCCTGCAGAGGGACGTGCCCGACTTAACGCTTGCATCCAGACGAGGCATCGAAGGTCTCCCAGCGAGCCGGGCGATCGTGGGCAGCCTTCTGCGTGCCTGGCCGCCTCCCTCGCGACAGCGGGCCCAGGAAACATCAGCGCCGTCCTTCGGCGAGGCGATCGACGAGGCCGAGCCGGTCGAGGGAGGCGAGGCCGAAGGGACCAGTCCGAACCTTAGGTCGGGCGTGTGCTCCTACAGGCGGACTTTGGACGGAAAAAAAAACCCAAAATAGAAACATGCTCAAACATTGAACAAAAATCATCCCCAGACTACTTTTGGACTATTTTTGGATATTCCTCCTGTAGAGGGACAAGCCCAACTGGATGATCCGTCCGAACCACAGGCAGCCCCACCGACCTGCCTGGGCCCCTGCCTCGGGTGGCGAGCTCGGAGCGACCGCCGAGGCCAAGGTGCGAAGAGACGCGGTCGGGAACGCTTCCTCGGCGTGTCGCGGCGGCGGCCCCTGCGCCGCGCCGTGCCCTGCAGGCTTCTGGCCCCGCCGCTCTGCTTTTCGTGCTTCGCGGGACGGGAAATTGAGGAAAGCTCGGAACAGTCGGAACATGGATGCTCGGGACTGGGACGCGCTGAGCGCGTCGCGCAGAAGCGTTGTGGAACAGAAGCGGCGGGGCGACACGCTGAGCAAACGCTCCTGACCGCAGTTCGGATCGAGCCGGCCGCAACGGCCGAGGTTGAAACGATCGAACCGGATCGTCGACGGCAAAACGATCGTCTGGAAGTGGCCCGTCGAAGCGACCATGGCTGAACCGACCAATACAACGAAGCCGCAACCAGCCTTGCTGACCTGTTTGGGCTCCAAGGGATCGGATCGAACTGATCTGGGTGCCCGCGTCGGAATGATCGAGCCAACGCTTGGAGAACACAGCTTGGACCAGACATGGGAAAGTGCGAAGTCGCTGGAGAGAGGACGGGGTGGGCACCGGCTTGCATCGTGGGCCGACCGAGCACCGAAGAGAAGCACCATAGCTTTTGCACCAAAACAGACGATTCGCCGCAGCTGCTGCATCGCTGAAGATTCACCGCAGCTTCTGCATCGCTGGTCGAGGCTGATCCACCGACAGATACAGCCTACCCGACATCCTCCGATCTGTTTTTTTCAATCCGCGGCCCAAGAGCTCCCGATCCCTTCCCTAGAAATCATTTTGCGCCCCGAGTCCATTTTTGATGGCACCAGGGCCCGATATAACGGGCCCCAGAGGCCGAATCCGAGGAAAACCACCTGGATGGAAAAAACAAGATCGCTCGATATCTGGGTATCTTCCTCTCGCTGGTTTCATAGGAGGAGGTATAATTAAACATCGGCATCAAAGACATACGTTCTCGGAGGTCCGCGCGGATTTCTCGGAGCGCGCCAGCGGCGGCGGCGCCAGGGTTCTAAGACATCCGCGCAGATTTCCGAACAAATATGTATGTGTAGTGTTTTTGTTGTTGTTGAATATTATTACTTCTAAAGAATAATTATTGTTGGGCCCCCTGGTGCACGCCCCCCTCGCCGCGCCTAGGCCGCAGCTACATTTTCATCATTTTCGTGAGGAAGCCTCAGGTAAAACGATGTGATCCAGATCCGGTTGTTTTGTTGTAATCCGTTTTCCCTTGCAAAAAAAACACTATAAAATGACATTTCTTGTTCTAATATAATCAAATTTCAAGAATCCCTTGCAAAAAATAAGGTAAAGTGGACATTCGCGCGCGCAAGACGAAATCCTTCCAAAAGCTTAGTGTTCGGAGCGATTTTAACATAAAAACATCAAAACACCAATGGTTTTTCAACAAAAAAATGTCAAAATCTCATCCCGCGCGCTCTTGCGGATTCGTAGGAAACCCAACACTTTTTAAACATTTCTGTCAAACGGGCTTTTGCGAGCAACTTTTTCGAACTTCTGCGACAACGGTTGCGCACCTGCCAGGGCCATCATCCCTGTCAAATAATACCATGCGGGACACATTCGTTTTTTCTTCGCGCGCGCACGCCGTCGTCGTCGGCCGCGGGGCCCTGAATAGTAGCCACGGTCGTCCGCATGCCACGAAGTGAAGTGTCCGAACGTCATAGGGCGGGAAGCTGGGTGTGGGTGGTGGCGAAGAGTCGTTGGAAATTTGGTAGAGCTTGAACCGGCCCCCCCACAAAGTGGGGGTATTGCCCGCCTCCTATGAAAACCCTGGCACTGGTGAGAACGGAGTGTCCCCAGTCTTAAATGATTGTTGTTGTTGTTGTTGTTGTTGATGTTGTTGTTGTTGTTGTTGTTGTGATTCGACTTCGGACGCCCGAAATGAGTACATAACAAATGGGTACAACGCCCAACAACAAGTGTTGTCCCAAACTACCAGCGGCTCCTGTTGGGCAAGCGGCCTTGTTGTCTCAAGTGGACACAGTCCGCGGCGACACCGACAGCGAGTCCTGTTCAAAACGAACCAGAACTGCTGTTGGTCTTTGTGCCCGTCCTTTCCGTACCCACTTTGATCGTCCCGATCGACCCACTAGGGAGGATGAATGGGTTAGGAGGCGTATGGAAATCCATTCGACCTATGGGTAATTATATCTTCATTTCTCCAAACCCCATCCTCCCAACCCGAGAACTGTCTTCCTGAGTGTAGTGTTGTCGTTGCCGCTGCTGCTGTTGTTGTTGCTGCTGCGGTTGCAGTTGTTGTTGCTGTTGTTGTGGTTGTTGTTGTTTTTGCTGTTGCTGTTGTTGTTGCGGCTGTTGCCGTTGCTGTTGTTGTTGCTGTGGTTGTTGGTGTTGTTGTGTTTCATTGTTTGTCTGTTTGTATGTTTGTTGTGGTTGTTGTTGCTGTTGCTGCTGTTGTTGTTGTCGCTGTTGAACTCTCACTACTGAAGAATAACTATTGTTGATCCCCCCCTCTGGTGACCATTGTGCTTGTCTCCTCAAACTGGGCCCCTGGCCCCCGAGTTACAAATTGCAACGGTTCACGCCTGATGATTCCTCACAATTTATTCCCACACCGCGTTATCGCGCGGGACTTCGTCACAGTTCATGTACGCATCGCGCTCTCGCGTGGGACTTCCTTGCAATTTATTCCGACGATGCGCCCTCGGCGCTCAGGAATCACGCTCTCGCTTGGGCTTTTCTCACGATTTACTTGGGACTCGCGCTATCGCTCGAGACTTCCTCGCGATTCATGCAGGACCCACGCTTCAGCAACCCGCCTGCTCGACCTCGTCGCCTGGGCCCGCCTTCCCGACCTGCCTGTTATGGGTCTGCCCACCCGATCTGCCCGTCTGGTTCTACCACTAGTTTTCTGCTCCTTGCCCCCCTCCTGCTAATTTCTCTCGTGCTCCATTCTTTTCCCTCCCCCTTCCACCCGTTCTCTCTTCCCTTGTTTTAGGGGCTGCACTAAATAACGTGGCAGGTAAGGAAGATCTACCCCCAAGCGGGTACGATCGAAGACGACGAGGGCGGGTACCGAGGGTTTGGGATATACGCACTGACTGGCATGTGCGCAGATAGGAGCGAACAGCCTTAACATGATTGTTGTTGTTGCTGCTGCTGTTGTTTCTGTTTTTGTTGCTGCTGTTGTTGCTGCTGCTGCTGCTGTTGCTGCTGTTGCTCGACTCGCTGGGCACCTCCCTCCCCACACCTTACTCGTATGGCGCTCTCAAGCCCGTGCCTTTTCAGTACGCGTGTCAACGTTTCGCCCCTGCTGGGGCTCGTCAGGAATCGAATGAAAATGGCAGCGGCATGCGAACACAGCAAGTGCATGATCGACACAATACTGCGTGCAATGCGATACGGCAAACAAAAACACATGCATGCATGCGGCGATCTCTCAACAACACCCCCTGTATTGGATGACTGCTGCTTCTGCTGCCGCAGCGCGCCCTCTCCTCCCCCGTCTCGCGGGCGGAGCCGCCCGGCCGCGCCCAGGAGCGAGGTGCACACGAGGGGCAGCCGCACGCGGCGGGCCTGGCCGAGGCCGGCCCCGGGAGGGGGTGGGGCAGGAGGAGGGGGAGGAGGAGGGGCAGGAGGAGGGGGAGGAGGAGGGGGAGGAGGAGGAGGAGGAGGAGGAGGAGGAGGAGGAGGAGGAGGAGGAAGAGGAGGAGGAGGAGGACGAGGAGGAGGACGAGGAGGAGGAGGAGGAGGAGGAGGGGAAGGAGGAGGAGGAGGAGGAGGAGGAGGAGGAGGAGGAGGAGGAGGAGGAGGAGGAGGAGTAAGAGGAGTAGGAGGAGGAGGAGGAGGAGGAGGAGGAGGAGGAGGAGGAGGAGGAGGAGGAGGAGGAGGAGGAGGAGGAGGAGGAGGAGGAGGAGGAGGAGGAGGAGGAGGGGGGGGTCAGCGGCGACCGCCCCTTCACTCACTCGCTCACTCTCGCGAGTGCCGGCCCCGAGGCCGCCCCGAAGCGGGGCGCGCGGCGAAGCCTCAGCTCCACGTGTCGTCTCGCAGCACACTGCTGCACTGCAAAAGAGGGTGCAATTCGGACTGTATCAATCCATCTCGACGTGGGTCGCTCTGCCCGCCGCGTCCTTCCACGCGGCGACCGCACCCCTTCTGAGGGGGAACGTCCCCAGAGACACCTGGCCGCTCCAATTTTTTCGAACACTCGATCGCTTCCCGATCCTCGAGCCTCCATCCTCGATCCTCGATCGAGCCTCGAGCCTCCATCCTCGATCGGCTCACCCGATCGAGGATGGGCCCTCGGAGGCCTGGCTCACTTCCCCAGAGATGTTTTTTCGTGCTGGACAGGCTTTCGACGGGCCCGGCGAAGACCCCTGGAGGCCGAAGGCAGTTTGTTGGAGCGTCGGATCTCTGGGTCACGTGGGGGTAGGTGGGTAGGGGCGGGGGGGGGCTCGGCTGGGAAACGTCACGGGGAAGACCGGCTCAGGGTGGGGGGGGGAGGGAACATCGACCTGGAATCGGCACTCCATCGCCGATGGATCGGCGATCGGCGAGAGGCCAGGAGAGGCGGCAACCGCCTGTCATGGGGGGACCAGCTCTCCTGAGATCCAGGCGTTGCATTTTTTCGCACTGGGCGTTTGCGCCCAATCTCGGGCTCCAGGACCGTCGCAGATCGATCTGGCTCGAAAAATGCAGCGGAAAAATGGGGTCTAGGTCTCCAGTCGTGGTTCTGAGCGACGTTGCAAGTGCTTCGCAACGTCAGATCTCAGGGCCGGGTGGGGAGGGGAGGGGGACCACTGCCTCTTCTGAGGGGGAACGTCAGGCGCGGGGACCGGCGAGGTTCGAGGTTTGAGGTCAGGGGTTTTCGAGGTCTTCGGACGTTTTCTCGCTGGTTCTCGGCGGCTTCCCAGCCTCGGGATACCTTCCAGCGGCTGCGCCTCGACGAGGGCGCTCCCAGGGGTTCGCAGATCGCCCCGGACGGCCGCTGGATGCCCGAGTCGTGACCCCAGTGGCCTGGCTCAGGGGGGGAGGCAGCAGCGAGCCGGAATCGGCGGGGCGTCGCCGATGGATCGGTGATATGCCCCCGACGGCGAGTCTGCACGTTCCTGGGCAGGGTGGGCTATCGGGCCCCCATCGGCGATGAAGAGGCTAGGGCTCCCAACTTCGCGCTTCGCGCTGCGCGAAGCGCGAAGCGCGAATAACTTCGCGCTCTCGCGCCGCCCTCCCAAAGGGAGAATAGGAGGACGAGGAGGAGGGGGAGGAGGAAGGAGGACGGCGAAGCGCGAAGCGCGAATAACTTCGCGCCCTCGAGGGAGCCCTTGGTCGATGCATCCCCCTGAGCCTCTGGTATGGAACTTTTGCTTAGCGTGTCGCCGCGGCGGCCCTGGCGATACGCTATATCCCCTGCGAGCGGATAGCGTGTCGCTCCGCTGCGCGGGGCGGGAGGTCGGGAATGGCTTGGGACGTTGACGCCTGGGACCAGGAAGTGGATAGCGTGTCGCGCCGAGGCGCGGTGGGCCAGAACTGGCAGAGCGACACGCTATCCAAACATTCCCGACCGCATCCCCCCGAACGTTTGCCCCTGACATTCCCGAGCCGAACCCGCTCCGCCCCGCCCTTCCCCCGAGACCCTCACCTCCCGTTCTCGCGCCACGAAGCCGACGGGTCCCGAAGGAAATGGGTCCCGAAGACTTCCGCTGCTTCTGGCCGCTCCCCCCTCCCACTCCCTCCGTGCCTCCGCTCTCCTTCCCTCCGTGCCTCCTCCCTCGCCTCCGCACGGCCCCACCTCGAGGCCGCGGCCTCGAGGCTGCCCCCCGGCACGCGCGCGGGCGCATGGCCTGCGCGGCGTGCCCCGCTCACGCGCCTGCTGGACCACGCGGCGTCCGTCCCTCGGGCCCTGCGGGCCCTCCACGGGCCCCGGGATCGCTGCACCGGGGGCCCGTCCACAAGAGATCTCCCACAGGAAACCCAACCCTGAGATCCCAGGGCGTCCATGGATCTTTGGTGTGGGAACGTCTCGCCTTCCATCGCAAACCCAGCGAAACATAAGAAACCCAGGGCACCCTGGAGGCGAGCAGGGTGTTTCTTGGCATGGGTTTCCACCGTACTTGACGACTCAGTTCGAATAACTGATCCTGGGGGAGGGTCCGGGGTCTGGAGCCCGCTTCCCTCTGGGCCCGTTTGCTTTTTTCCAGACTTCCCTCCCTTCTCAGCGGTGTGCCGCAGTCCAGCTCCAGCCAAGCCCGCTCCGCTTCGGCTCCAACCCTGCGTGCCACATCTGGCAGGGTGGGCCCTTTCCCGACCCCATGCTTCGATGCGGAGCGTAACGGCGCCTCGTCTCCGCCGTCGTCGTGGTCGTGGTCGTGGTCGTGGTCGTGGTCGTGGTCGTGGTCGTCGTCGTCGTCGTCGTCGGCGGCGGCGGCGGTGGCGGTGGCGGTGGCGGTGGGGTAGTGGTGCGTATTGCTCTGCTCGGGACTTGCTTCCCTGATGCAGTGACCACCACTCACCACCACCCTTTCTTCCTCTGCTCGCCTCGTCACATCTGCCTCCCTCTCCCCTTCCCCTCTGCCCGAGCGCCAACTTCCGAGCAGCCCGTCGCCCAAGACGGGGTCTGCGAGCCCGCACCAGGCGACCCCCAGGCCGCCGCCCTCAATCAAGTCGAGGCGTCCGCGAGAGGGGCGTCCAAGGAGGCGGGTTCGCAGGCCATGCCCGGAGGCATGTGCGCGTCCGAGGGGGCCCCAGGGGGCGTATGTATGTAAGAACAGGGGGCCATGGCATCGGGGAGAAATCGTGGCCCCGGCCATGATGCCCACTGGTTGCGTGATAATCGACTCCTCGCCAACCAAGCCATGACTGCCATGTTGGACGTCAACTGGCAACCTTCTGTTGCTCCATCTACGTCCGCTGAAGGTCGACCGCTCAGCGGTGGTTTTCGGGTCATAACTCGGGCCTCCCGCGGCCGTTCGGGACGATCGAGGCACCCCTGGAAAGCTTTCGGCGAGACGCAATCGCTGAAGGCATCCCGAGGCTAGGTCGCCGCCGAGAACCGACAAGAACTCCCGAAAACGTCAAACCTCGAACCCGAAAACTCCCAAACATGTAAATTAACGATGAGCCATGTTTAATTGCCACTCCTGGACCACCCTGCCCCGGTTCGTGGCCGCCGCCATCGCCGCGGCGGCCTCCCAAAAAGCGACCTGGAGGTTTGCTTCAGGGTCGGGTATCACGCAACGATCTCTCCTCCCCTGGTGATCACACCCCCCTCTTTCGGCGGCCAGCCCTGAGGGGGGGGAAATGAGAAGGGGCGGGCCGCCTCAGAAGGCCCGGAAATTCCCCGGCCTGCTGAAACATTTTCTGAGCCCTCCCCGAAGACACGGGAAGCCTCCCGGGGGGCCGGAGGGCTTCCGAGAAGCCCCGCCGCCTTCTGAGAGGGGCTCCTCCTTCTCACTTCCTCCCTGACGTAGACTCACGCAACCGTCCCCTCCCCTTACCCAGACCCCCGACGTCATGATTTTTTCATGACGTCGACCCCCATAGGTCTGGACCCATTCCCTGGGACCAATTTTATCGTCCGGAATAGTTTTTCCACAATGCCGAGGCTCGGTAGAGGCCCCCGGAGGCCAAAAACTGCGAAAAACCTGCCGTCGTGATTTTCTCATGACTCGAGGGGGTCTGGGTCTTAGAATCACGCAGCCATCCATCTCCCCTTTGGTTGTCACCCCCCTGTTGTCCGGCCCCGATCGGGGATCTTCTGACCTGGGTCAATCCAGACCCGGGTCAGCAGGAAACCAAAAACTGCAATGCAGGACAAAAAAACTGCAACGCAGGTCTTCGCAGACCCGGGTCAGCCAATAGGCGCGGCCGCCTCGCGGCCACGCGCGGCTCGCTAGCCCGGTTCAGCCAGAGGGGGTCTTCGCAGGATACTGCAGGATCTGGCGCTCTGGCTGACCCAAATCTGCACTGACCCCCGTCTCTTGAGCTCCGACATTGGCCGCCAACGCAGAAACCGCTCCGGTGATCCTGGACAAGCGTTGCACTCCAGCTGGGGGAGACGTCAGACTCGGGTACGGGGATCTCGGGTTGGCCTGGCGGGGACACATATTTTCTCCATATTTTCTGGGTTTCTGTCTCCCCCCCCACTTCCCATATCTTTCCAATATTTTCTGGGAATCGACGAATAATTGTGTCTGTGCTTTTTCCCCTCCTGACATGTTTCCTTCAAGATGATCCGAGGTGCTCCAAGCCGCTCCAGACTTTCTGGCGCTGGCCTCGCCGAGAAAATCGCACACGTCCGAGCGAGGCCAAGGAGCCGCGGCTCTCCAGGGCGCGCTCCCCGCGGCGCCGGCGGAGGTGCCCGAGACCGCCGCTGACAAGGGGAGGCACGGCGCAAGCTCTTGACGAGGGTCTCGGACTGGGTCGAGAAGGACGCCGATGAGGAGACTGTCGGATTCAGTCCTGGCTGATGGGATCCAGTTTCCTTGAGCCACCGCAGTTGCATGCCCTCCCGTGATCGCAGGCAAGATCGCTTGTATTGAGCGTGAACTGAAAAAAGTAAACTTGGGCCATGGCTCAATCCCCAAATTTTGACAACTTGAAGTTGACTGCATTCTCGACTCGATACTCGAGCACACCGCTACCATTGAAGCGGGTGCACGTGTCGGATAATTAAGCAAGGAAGAATGAGACGTGCCTCAGGGCAGGCGGAAGCTGAAAGGCCCAATCTGAACACACAACCGCCAGATCAGGGGGGGGGGACCGAGACTCCGAGTGACCCGCGATGATGCTCCTGGACATGCCACCAGCGGAATTCTGTTTGCTTTGCGGCGCGTTGGGTCCAACGAGAGGTCGGGCTAACGGCGGGGCGCGTCCGTGGCCAATTACGGCAAAAGCAAAAAGATGGGCATGGCGTGAGGAGGAAGCGGCCGCGGAACGGCCAGCAAGACCTCAGCGCATGTCGATCTGCAGGCGGCGCCGGAGATGAGGCTCAGGACCGCGTTCAGGCGGCGTGGCACAAACGCGAAGGACGTGCCAGAAGACGCAGGCACATGGCGAAGCTGCAGAGCTGGGGCAGAGCATGTGCAGAGGGCCACCGTGGGAAGCAAACGCCAAGACAGAGGCGCCTTTCGCGCGAACTAGCGCGGGCTTCTCTGCCAGGATCCGTGGCTGCATCCGAAATCCCCGGCCCGCCGCAGGCCTCCCGCAGCGCCTCGGCGGGCACAGGGTCCTGCGCGCGCGCACTGCAGAGGGGCGAATCAGGCACGGGAGCGGTGAATAATCTTCCTTTGTCGTCACGGGGCAACTGGCCAGGTTCGAAGTTTCTCCTCCTCCTCCTCCTCCTCCTCCTCCTCCTCCTCCTCCTCCTCCTCCTCCCCCTCCTCCCTCCTCCTCCTCCTCCTCCTCCTCCTCCTCCTCGTCCTCCTCTTCCTCATCCTCCTCCCCCTCCTCCTCCTCCTCCTCCTCCTCCTCCTCCTCCTCCTCATGTTTCTCCTCCTCCTCCTGTTAAAAATTTGCTTCGAAATATCGGGTAGTTTCGTCGGCTCTCTGCGGCTTCTCAGCCTCGGGATGCCTTTCAGCGGCTGCGCCTCGCCGAGAGCGTTCCAAGGGTTCGCAGATCGTCTCGAACGGCCGCCGGAGGCCCGAGTGACGATTCGAAAATCACCAGGGGACTGGCGCAGGGGGGGCAGTCTCCTCCCCTCCTCCTGGCCATCCACGCTACCGTCTACGAGATTGCCTGGTACGTCGATGGAACATCGACCCTTCTTCGGAAACACTGTCCAGCGCGTCACACTTGGTGTGCTCAAATGTCTTGAGTAGTAGAACTTTCTTGGCGTCCGCGCTCCAGGTTCACAGCCTGTCTCCAACAAGCGCAGTGGCTGCGCAAGAAACGCTCGTACGTGGTGCAACATATCAAATATCTAAAGGCCTCCCCAAATGGGTCTGAGTAGATCGGGTCGGAGGATCGCGCTGCATCGCCAGTGCATCGCCGACGGTGGCGACGCATCGGCGCCATCGGCGTGGAGAATCTGGATACACAACGAGCCGCATCGTCGATGCATCGTCAATGCGGCGCGATTCTCCAACCCCTTTTTACTCGGACCACATCTGTGAGGCCTAACATATCGTAGCCTGGACTCAAAACGAGAGTCCAGAGCGACCCATGGGGGTCCTCCTGAGATTCTGCTGCACAGATCGGCGCTCGGACTCTTGTTAGCGTTCTGCTGTGTCTATATTGAAGCTTCTTGGAAAGGTCGCTCCGCCGCAACCTTCACTCTAGCGGCTCCGGTGTCCCTGCGTAGTACGCTCCGCAGAGTCCCTGCGTCGAGACACTCAAAGCACTTGATACACTTCTGCACGTGGCTGGATTCCACACTCTCCTGATCGTGGCAAGAACGATGAAGCAACAGTAACGGTGGGTCACTGAACACATGACCAAAGATAGTGCGGACCTGGTGAAAGCACACGCTGGACGCGTGGAGTGCAAATCGCCCAATCTGCCCTGATACAACTTCCTCCTCTTTACCCTCCTTATCTTCTTCCTCCTCTCCGAGTCCCCAGTCTTCGCCCTTATTTCTCCTCCTCTATTACAGGCGTCGGCTGGCCTATGCAGGAACCCTCGTACTCCTCCGACTAAAGACACCCGAAACGACAGCCCCGCCTGCGTTACCATCCGCGATCGGCTCCGATGTGGTTGACGAGAAGATGCCCTCTGAGATCCGACGTACCGAAAAAATGCAACATCGTGAATCGGGCATCTACTGACCCGGGTCAGTCCAGACCCGGGTCAGTCAGGCTTTGCAGGATCCTGCAACATCCTGCAGGATCCTGCAAGATCCTGCGCGCTAGCCTGGGTCAACGCACCCCTGGCCCTGCAGAATCCTGCAAGATCCGACGCCCTGGCTGACCCCCGTTTGCATTGACCCCCGTCCCTTGAGCCCCGAGTGAAAAATCACGGCCTCCTCCTCCTCCTCCTCCTCCTCCTCCTCCTCCTCCTCCTCCTCCTCCTCCTCCTCCCCCCCCGACC